GAATGGATACGTAAACAAAACCCAGAAATCTGTTGCATACAAGAAATGCACCTAAGGCACAAAGATAGACATTACCTGAGGGTAAAAGGTTGGAAGATGACTTTCCAAGCAAATGGACCCAAGAAACAAGCAGGAGTAGTCATTCTAATATCTGATAAAATAGACTTTCAACCAAAATTAATAAAAAGAGATGAGGAAGGACACTTCATACTCATCAAGGGAAAATTCCACCAGGAAGACATCACAATCCTGAACATCTATGCCCCAAATACAAGAGCACCCACATTTGTAAAAGAAACATTGATAAAATTTAAACCACATATAGATCCCCACACATTAATAGTGGGAAACTTCACCACCCCACTCTCAACAAAGGACAGGTCAACAAAACAAAAATTAAACAAAGAAACAATATCTCTGACAGAGGTCATGAATCAAATGGACCTCACAGACATTTACAGAACTTTACACCCAAACACAAAAGAATTTACCTTCTTCTCAGCACCTCATGGAACCTTCTCCAAAATAGTCCATATAGTTGGTCACGAAGCAAGCCTCAACAGATACAAGAAGACTGAAATAATCACTTGTATCCTGTCTGATCACCACAGAATAAAGCTGGATTTCAACAACAACAGAAATAGCAAAAAGCCTACACACACATGGAAACTGAACAACTTGTTACTAAATGACAGCTGGGTCAGGGAAGAAATAAAAAAAGAAATTAAAGCCTTTCTAGAACTCAATGAAAATGAAGACACAACATACCCAAACTTGTGAGACACAATGAAAGCAGTGCTAAGAGGAAAGTTCATAGCACTAAGTACCTTCAAGAAGAAATTCGAGACAGCTCATTCAAACAACTTAATGGCCCACTTAAAAACCCTAGAAAAAGAAGAAGCAGACACACCAAAAAGGAGTAGACGGCTGGAAATAATCAAACTCAGGAATGAAATCAATCAATTAGAAAGAAATAAAACAATTCAAAGAATCAATGAAACCAAGAGCTGTTTCTTTGAGAAAATCAACAAGATCGACAAACCCTTAGCCAAGCTAACTAAAAGGCAGAGAGACACCACCCAAATCAACAAAATCAGAAATGAAAAGAGGGACATAACTACAGACACTGAGGAAATCCAAACAACCATTAGTACTTACTTAAAAAGTCTATACTCAACAAAATTTGAAAATCTAAATGAAATGGACAATTTTCTTGATCGATTTGACTTACCAAAGCTGAATCAGGACCAGGTAATTCAATTAAATAGTCCTATATCCCCCAAAGAAATAGAAGCAGTCATCAAAAGTCTCCCATCCAAAAAAAGCCCAGGACCAGATGGCTTCAGGGCAGAATTCTACCAGACCTTCAAAGAAGAGCTAACTCCAATTCTCTTCAAACTATTCCACAAAATAGAAAAGGAAGGAACATTACCAAACTCATTCTATGAAGCCACAATCACCTTGGTAACTAAACCTCACAAAAACTCAACAAAGAAAGAGAATTTCAGGCCAATCTCCCTTATGAACATTGATGCAGAAATACTTATCAAAATACTTGCAAACCGAATCCAAGAACACATCAAAGATATTATCCACTATGACCAAGTAGGCTTCATCAAAAGTATGCAGGGGTGGTTCAATATACGGAAATCCATCAATCTGATCAACCATATTAACAAACTGAAAGAAAAAATCCACATGACAATCTCCCTAGATGCTGAAAAAGCATTTGACAAAATCCAACATCCATTCATGTTTAAAGTACTGGAGAGAACAGGGATACAAGGCACATATCTAAACATAGTAAAGGCGATATACAGCAAGCCTATAGCCAACATCAAACTGAACGGAGAGAAACTTAAAGCAATCCCACTGAAATCAGGGACAAGACAAGGCTGCCCACTCTCTCCATATCTCTTCAACATAGTGCCGGAAGTTGTTGCTAGAGCAATAAGACAGTTGAAGGAGATCAAGGGGATACAGATGGGAAAGGAAGAAGTCAAATTATCACTATTTGCAGATGATATGATATTATGTATGAGTTACCCCAAAAACTCTACCAGGGAACTCCTACAGCTAATAACACCTTCAGCAAAGTGGCCGGATATAAATTAACTCAAAAAAAAAAAATCAGTAGCATCCTGTATACAAAAGACAAAAGGGCTGAGAAAGAAATTAGAGAAGCAGCACCATTCACAATAGACACAAATGACATAAAATATCTTGGTGTAACCCTAACCAAGCAAGTCAAAGACTTGTATGAAAAAAATTTCAAGTCTCTGAAGAAAGAATTAGAGGAAGATATGAGAAGATGGAAAGATCTCCCATGCTCATGGCTTGGCAGGATTAACATAGTAAAAATGGCCATCTTACCAAAAGCAATCTACAGATTTAATGCAATTCCCATCAAATTGCCAACACAATTCTTTACAGACCTGGAAAGAAAAATTCTCAACTTCTTATGGAATAACAAGAAACCGAGAATTGCTAAAACAATCCTCTACAATAAAAGATCTTCTGGAAGTATCTCCATCCCTGATCTCAAGGTGTACTATAGAGCAACAGTTATAGAAACTTCATGGTAATGGCATAGAAACAGAATAGTGGATCAATGGAATCGAACAGAAGACCCAGAAATAAACCCACACACTTATGGACACTTGATTTTTGACAAAGATGCCAAAACCATACAATGGAAAAAAGATAGCATCTTCAACAAATGGTGCAGGTTCAACTGGATGTCTACGTGTAGAAAAATGAAAATAGATCCATACTTATCACCCTGCACAAAACTGAAGTCCAAGTGGATCAAAGACCTCAACATAAAACCAGACACATTAAATTGGCTAGAAAAAAAGTGGGGAATACCCTAGAACTCATTGGTACAGGAGAAAACTTCCTGAACAGAACACCAACCTCACAGGCTCTAAGAGCAACAATAAATAAATGGGACCTCATGAAATTGAAAAGCTTCTGTAAAGCAAAGGACACTGTCATCAAAACAAAGCGACTGCCTACAGACTAGGAAAGAATCATCACCAACCCTTTATCTGACAGAGGAATCATATCCAATATATATAAAGAAGTAAACAAGCTGAAAAGCAACAAACCAAGTAATGCACTTAAAAAATGGGGAACAGAGCTAAAGAGAGAATTCTCTGTAGAAGAATATCGAATGGCAGAGAAGCACTTAAAGAAATGCTCAACCTCATTAGCCATTAGGGAAATGCAAATCAAAACAACCCTGAGATTTCACCTTACACCCATCAGAATGGCCAAGATGAAAAATTCAAGGAACAACACATGCTGGAGATGTTGTGGAGAAAGGAAAATAAGGAAAAATAAGGAAGTCATGAAATTTGCAGGTAAATGGTGGGACCTGGAAAGGATCATCCTGAGTGAGTTGTCCCAGAAGCAAAAAGACACACTTGGTATATACTCACTCATATAAACATACAACATAGAATAAACCCACTAAAATCTGTACATCTAAACAAACTAAGCAAAAGAGAGGACCCTAACTAAAATGTTCAATCCCCATCCTGAAAGGCAAAGAGGATGGACATCAGAAGAAAAAGAAAATAGGAAACAACCTCGGAACCTGCTACAGAGGGCCTCTGAAAGCCAGAAGAACACAGGAAACAACCTTGAAACCTGCCACAGAGGGCCTCTGAAAGCCTCTGCAGTATAGACTATCAAAGCAGATGCTGAGCCTGATGGTCAACTGATGGGCAGAGTGAATGGAATTTTATGTAAGAAGTGGGAAATAGTAAAAGCTGGAGGGGACAGGAACTCCACAAGCAGAGCAACAAAACAAGATAATTTGAACACAGGGAACTTCCCAGAGACTCATACTCCAACCAAGGACTATTCGTGGAGATAACCTAGAACTCCTGCACAGATGTAGCCCATGGCAGTTCAGTGTCCAAGTGGGTTACATAGTAATGGGAAGAGGGACTGCCTCTGACATAATCTGATTGGCCTGCTCTTTGATCACCTCCCCCTGAGTGGGGAGCAGCCTTACCAGGCCATGGTAGATGACAATGCAGCCACTTTTGATGAGAACTGATAGACTAAGATCAGAAAGGAGAGGAGAACCTCCCCTATCAGTGGACTTGGGGAGGGGCAAGCATGCAGAAAGGGAAGGATGGGAGGGATCGGAAGGGGAGGAGGGAGGGGCTTATGGGGGGATACAAAATAAATAAAGTGTAATTAATAATAAAATTAAAAAAGAAAAAAGCAAGAAAAAAAATGCAAAATAATATAAATCCAGAAGGGATTAGAAGAAACACCGTAGGATCTGCTCATCTCTGCCTTCCACACTATCTTACTTCAACCTGAGAAAAAGGGAAAAGTCAGTACTACACACTGTCAGCACAAACTAAAGTTCAGATAAGCCTGGAAAAACCTTGGTCTACTCAGCATGGTTTGAACATCTGGATTTTGTCTAAAATCATGCTTAAGCAACAAAATTTCAGAGGAACATAGCTAAGGACAGCTGGAGAGACTATCAGAGCCATTTTACATGTGTGCTCTAACACACTTCAGATCACTGAAAAATTTCATAGTATTTATGGATAGGGCAATTGAATACTGCCTGTATTGTCAGTCAGTGCCCTGCAAATATTCTGAAAAAGACTGACTGACTTTTAAAATGTATCTGTTGAAATAAATGTTGTGGCTAGACTTCAGGGACTGTAAACCAGTAACATTATTTATGATTCTAATAATTTTACATATGCTGGGAATCTAAAGTAAGTTGTATAATGTGTTAGCTAGTTCCTTAACTTCTGTCATTTGTAAAATATTTTGATTGGAAGATGTCAGTGATATAGATCAATTTTGCACAACATCTACAAAATAAATTTGAACCGACTGGCAATGACTTTAGTATTTACTAAAGTTTTTATTTTTAAGGAACAGAGAGAAAAACATAAAGGGATCTTTGCAGTAATATCTTCTTAAGGGGCATCGCAGAAGCAGATGCTGTATATTTGCTGTTAGCAGGTGTTCCGAGCAGCCATTTTGTGATTGATGACCTCAAGGAAAATAGTTATTTTTTGGGCATCTCTGAGAAGGCAGCGGATCAGATTATAAAATGCAAAATAGTGAACATCTTCACTGTTCGACTGTAAAGATGCCAGTCCAGACGAAGGAACATAGATGATATTTTCTTTCTCTTCCACCTGAACATGAGCACCAAAAAGATAGTCAGCTGAGTATTAACTGTATTTTAGATGTTTATTCTTTCTAAATATTAAATATAGATTTGTAACAGTATCTATATATCAAGATTGTAAAAAAATATGGATTTTCATAAATATGCTTCCGTACACCACTAATAAATACATTTTCTGGCACATATAATGACCCTCATAAAATATTTCTTATATGAATCAACATATGTATTCCTAAGTATAAGTTGATCAGTTTACATAATTTTACTTGTATGTATGTTTTCATGGCTTTGAAAAACCAATTGATAGACTTTTCATTGGAGAAGCCTGTTTCTCCTACTTTCAACATTCATTCCTATGTTTCCTGTAGCTCTTTGTATAGGTTCCCATGAACCGCCTCCCATGCCTTGTTCATATTGATATGTCTGTTGGTGTTGCCCTTGTTTACCTTATTGTTTAGGAAGTCATGTGATAAGACTCTATGAGTAACCCTCTGATATTCCCAAGAGACACATTCTTAGAGCAAACTCCCTGATTCTCTGGTCCTTAAATCTTTCCTCCCCCTCTTCTGAAATGTTCCCTCAGTCTTAGATATGGGAATATTTTGTAGATATAACCAACAGAACTGGACTTCACAATTATGCATTTTCATTAGTTGTGTTTTTTTTTTGTAATTGACTGTATTAACTACACTGATTTATTACTATTTTTTTTTGCAAAGAAAACATTTAAAAATATGTTAGTCATCATACCCATTTGAGCATGAAAAAGGCTAAGAACTGTCATCAGGCTACTCACCAGGGTAAGTATTATTTTAACACCCTCCATGAGGTCTTCAATTTTTGCCTTAATCTGTCTGGCTTTGAAGAGAAGAGCAGAAGTGTTGCCTTGCAAGAGAGACATTTCATTCACAAGATGATGCAGAGTGTTGTTATTGGAACCCAGTAGACTGTATACCAATTTCAGTAGTTCTTCTGGCTAAGTAACCATAATTTAAAAATTATATTAGAATAAATAAAATGAGATAGGATTAGATACAGACAGATTTCATTCAAAAAGACTATAAAATTTCTGTAGCTGTTCATATAACTTTATATGATACGAGTTGTATATGTATAGTGTCTCTAGCTGTACTGCTTGCAGTTTCCTGGAAAGAAATTCTCCTTTACTGGTTATCTATACTATCCTAAGTAGAGAAGACCATTAGAGGCCAAACCACTAAATAAGGAAATAATAATCATACCCTTTTCACTCCCATTATTATATGACTTTATGTCACAAAGTAAATTAAAGTTCAAAAATAGAGAAAAACATTAGCATTATATAATTTAGAAATAATTAACATTTCTTGGGAAAGTTCTTTTTCTCCTGATATAGAGTTTAATGGCTGTTGGTTTCTTCTCCCTATGATGGTATGCTGTTTGGAATTTGGGTCACGATTCTTTCCTTTTTAGGCTATACTACATTCCAAACAGTAGCAATTAGATCCATTCTAGGAAGAAGCCATTAGTCGGGGGTGAAGGAGTACTTACAAATTCAGCGTGCAGGTTTTGAACTTGAGTAGCTAGGACGTCTGTCATAAAAGAGGTAAGTGAATACAGTTTTTCTAAGTACAAAGCTGTGTCATCATCATTATCCTTGACACAGGTGGGTGCAGTGATTCCATTCTCCCACAAAAACAAGCAGGACACCAGGCTCAGGAGCAATGCCCTCGCTAAAAAAAAAGGAAGAGAAGCCACTCAAACATCTCACTCTGAGGTTATCAACAGCTATCCTGTCAATGGAAACCTTATCACAGTGACCTCTTTTATAGAATTTGGTAGTTTTAGATGTGTAATGAACATCTTTCACTGTCCAAGTTTAGTTACGTAAATATATTTGCACATAGTTATATTTTGAAATGTGACTAAGATCCTTAAATTTTTTGCATTATTTTCAGACATTTTTCCATTTTTCCCTATTTTTGGAGCTTAACATAATCAAGTTAGCACTGACCAAAGAAGATTCTTCAGGTCATTTAATGTCTTGCAAATTTCTCTTGGTTTTCAGTAATAAGGCAGTCAAGAGCTAGTAAATTGTAGCTCAGTGTCAAATATTAGCATATTTGACTGTTACCTGACAAAGGCAACATGAACATGTTTGCTTTATATTCATTATTTATGACAAATACATTATTTGTCTTTTTATTAATGTTAATGAAGAGAATGTTGTCATAAACATGATGCCACAGCTTGGAATTGTAAACTGAGCTACAAAATGTTGTGTATTTATCTCTTGTCCCCCCCCCAAAAAAAAATCAGATATTTCTTCTCAATTTGATGCTTGCAATAAGCCTGAGAATAGGCTGGGCAACGTAGTTCTGACAAAAACATAAAGAATATATAAGCTGTATATCCACCTTCTTTGATTTTTTTTATTGTCCCATTGTTAGCAATTTCATAGAGCAACACAGCCATACTGAGGACTTTGTACCTTATCTGAGGGTCTGTGTTGCCCAGGGCTGCTGTCATTACATGAAAAGACCCACTCATTGACCTTGGCGAAATGTCACTGGTTTCAAAATTTCATTTTTTTTTATTTCCTCTGCTTTATATAACAGATACCTTTAAATGTTTTGCAATGTTCAGTGTTGGTTTCATCAATTTCCTTTTAATTTATTTTTTTTTACAGGCAGAAAGCAGAACTGTAACATATCAATAGTTTAGAATAGGGTGATACGCATGCATTTATGAAATTAAAAGCCTACTTACCTCTATGGACAGTAGTCTGAAGCAAATTTTGTTACAAAATGTGACTCTTATGACTCTATAATTCAGTAGAACTTTTGTTAACAGTCGTGGTGTTGCCCAACATAAACTTAGGAGAACTTGGTAGGAGGAAAGTATGGGGTACACACCCAAATACTTAAAATATCTAAATATGGCAAAAAGCTTTATAAAATACAGAAAACGATTTTGTTACAAAATAAAATTATTTTCAAATAATTCATGTTGCTGGCACATTTTCAAAAATAGTCATGTTTTCATAAATTTATTTTATGTGCAATGTGAATATATGCCAGGATATGCATATGTACACCCCACCCATTAGAAGGATTTTCATAGTCCAGGAAGAAAGAGAGAAGACACATCATTTTTGTTTTCTTTTTTATAAAATCAAATTCATGGTTGTTGCTAATTCATTTTTTTCTTAAAATATTACTAAGAAAATAAAACAACTTGGCATTAGTGTGAAGGTTAACATCTTTATTTTACTTGAACCTAATTGTCAAGGTTCTACAATAGCCACATCTGCTGTGCTTGTCAATGTTTCTCTCCAGAACTGACAGTGTAGTTGCGTTCATTCAAGTCAAAGAGCTGATAGACAAGAACCCAGAACCAACATAACTTGCTTTCTTCCTTGCTAAGTTGTTACTGATTTGACCCTCAGAAAATCTGCTGCTTTTATTTCATCTTAATTCCTCCGTATCTTCAATTTTTAATTTTTGACATGAATCATTTCTTGTTTGGGATATACCTTCTTCATGTAGTATTCAGACAAATTCCTGGTTTCTAACCCTTAAACACAAGTAATGATCTCCCTCCGCACCTTTATGACATTAAATTAAAGTAAGACAAATGCCTGTAGACATACATAGCTACCTGTCCCCATGCAATGATAACTCCCTTTTGAAAACACTAATCCTAGAGTGTACTTTCTTTCTAGTATATCTCAAGTATATACAAAGTATATCTCAAGTCTATGTGGCTTTGCTTCTCCTGGTTAGGTGTGCCTAAAATCCATTTTCCCAGATAGGGCAACAAATACAGTAGTAAGTAAACTTCCAGGCAAAATAATGTTTAAGCATCTGTAGAGGATCTTATATGAAGAATTACTTACAGAAAAATGCTTGAGTAAAAGACAGTGGCATCCTTGAAGTCACACCTCAGCTTGTTTGCTGACAAAGGAAATATGCTTCAGTCAAGTCCTTCCTTCTGTTTAACTTCCACCTCCTATATGGAGTACATCCTGCTAGAGGGCAGAAGGAAGTAAGACCTGCAATCCAGACGAGGATGCCATGAACTTTCCCTGTTAATGTTAGGGAGTAAAATGTAGAATCTGTGATTACAGATATATCTTCAGTGTTTATCTTATTTCTGGATGTTACTAGTGTTCAAGGTATCTTGTACACAGTTGCATCCACCTCTACTTCATAAATACTGATGAAATTTTTATATTCAAATGGAAACAGCTATGGCCCAGACTTTCAGTGTTTATTTCAGGTTCTCCTTTATTTCTGTCAATCTGCTCAATTATCCGGGCATACCAATAAGTATTTATTCTGGACAGTTTAACTGTAAAATACTTGCTAAACAGATAAAAAGAAGAAATAGATAAACACACAAAGGAGATTAGTAAAAACTTTACATCTATTGGACCAATCAAGTGCAAAATCTATCTTAGTGTGGACTATTACATGCTTAAGCACAAACTTTTAACCTGGATAATATTACCATGGGTTCTATACTGTTGATATGGTCTTCTACAACTACTGGTCCAGTATTTGGATGGATGTTACATTATCATTTGATTTGGCAGGTCTCACATTGACACTTTACCCCAGTAACTAGTATGGTGTCATTAGGTATGGAGAAGCCTGATTAGCACGATGGGAATGTTCACTAACTGTCACCCTAATTTCTTCATAACATGCAGCATGAAAATGTAGTAGCAACAATAATTTCTTATCATTTAGTTCTGGAATGCACCAAAATCAGTAGCAATGCCTGTATTGCATTGAGCCCAAAGGCTCTACTCCATCCAGTAACTCAATGGAAGTTTACCTTTCTGGTCTTGGAATTATTCAGCAACCTAATGGGCTTTGGTGTTACCATTTCTAACATGAATTGTTTCTTCTTGCACATTCTCAACTGATACGATTGCAATTCTTTTATTTTATTTTCCAAATACATATGACATTGGATTTTACCATTATGTATTGCCTACAGATGGTCAGCAGAGAATTTGAAGGTGCAGTACATGTGTTGGTATTCAGAAGAAGATGAAAACTATTCTTGATTTTGTAAATTGCCACTGTTACATGTTTTCTAAAATCAATGGCAAAAGCAGCTAATATAATTCCCGAGGACAAATTAACATTCCTCAACTAACAGCATGACCACCAGGCCACTCTACTGGTGGGATAGCAGCAGCTCAAACTGCTTTGACTGTCCAACAGTAAATGAGAAACAAACCAATTTTCATGGCAGCTACTCTTTCACCTCAAATTATTTCCTTTCTCTGGCTCCAGGATGGATGTAGTTCATTGACTTTTTATCAGACATGTATATCTCTGGATTTCATTCTGGGCAAGATAAATAGTATGCACACCCTGAGGACTTTCACGTCCCACAAGCACATAAATTCACCTTACATTTCCCATGCTGAGATGACAATCTGCACTCTGGCCACTTCCTGTTCTCCAGAAGGACATCTGCCTTTGGCAGAGCTTCTTTGATAAGGAAAGGTTCACCGTGTAATGTGTGCGTAAGATATGTGTGTCTACTTCTATACCAGCTCAGTTCTTTTTACATTCATGTTTCTATCTCCATATTCATGATATGCTTTTAACTCTTCCCACCACATGGCATAAATTTTGTGAATTTATTCTTATTTATCTATATAATTAAATAGGCGGTTAACAAATGCCTAACGTAACAGTGAGTTTTGAGTTAATCTGTGTGACCCTTACCTTCAGACATCGCTAACCATTGCTCAAAGACCTTACTGGAGTAAGTTTTACCCACCTAGGTATTCTTTCACAGCAATGTGCTGCCCGTCTTTTCAGAGACCTGCCCTATAAACATTACTTCTTGAAGCTCATAAGTACCATACTGACTCCCTTTCAATATTTGATATCAATTATGTTTCAATACTTTAACCTCACTCTGATGTCTTAAAACAGTCTTATTGGCATGATTATATTTTTCATTTTCTCATTACATCTAGATTGTGTTGGCATTTTAAAGGCCCAATTAAATGTGAGTCATTGCTATTCAATTCTATCAAATCTTTATCTCTTCCTATGTGGTCTTGTCAGGAGAAGAAATATTTACATTATAACAGTTCAGTTGGTGATTTGTGTAGTCTTAAAATATTTTGAATTAGTTCATGGATAGTTTCAAGTTTTGTAAACTCACCACACTAAACACCAACTTCCCTCCCATCCTGATATGTGTCCTTACCACAGAGGGCCTCCGAAAGACTGCCTAGCAGAGTATCAAAGCAGATACTAAGACTCATAATCAAACCTTCGACAGAGTGCAGGGAATCATAAGAAAGAAGGGGAAGTTAATATGACCTGGAGAGGGCAGGATCTCCACAAGGACAAAATATATCTGGCCACAGGGGCCTTTAATGAGAATGTTTCTCCAACCAAGCACCATGTATGGATATAACCTAGAACCTCTGCTCAGATGTAGCCCATGGTAGCTCAGTAACTAAATGGGTTTCCCTAGTAAGAGGAACAGGTTCTATTTCTGACAGGAACTCAATGGTAGGCTTTTTGACCTCCCCACCCCCCAAGGGAGGAGCAGCCCTGCTAGGCCACAGAGGAGGACTTTGAAGCCAGTCCTGAAGATACCTGATAAAACAGGGTCAGATGAAAAGGGAGGAGGTCCTCCCCTATCAGTGGACTTGGAAAGGCACAGGGAGGAGATGAGGGAGAGAGGGTGGGATTGGGAGGGAATGAGGGAACGGGACACAGCTGGGATACAGAGTTAACAAAATGTAACTAATAATAAAAATAAAAAAAGAAAAGACTTCTTTGAACAGGGGGTCTAGGTCTTTTCCATACATGGTCCTCAGTTAGAATATCTGTCTCTGCAGGCACCGTCGGCCCAGGTATTTTGGCTCTGTTGTTCTTGTGGAGTTCCTATCCCCTCCAGGTTTTTCCCTCTCCCTCTTCTTTCATAAATTTTTACCCATTGACAGACAGGGGTTATTGGTCCAGGAGTAAATCAATTGTGCAAGCATATCAGATCACAAAGGCCCAAAGATCCTCCTTATTTCTCTTCTCCTCTCAGTTACTGACCTGTAACTCCAGGTATTGTTCTTGGATGCATGAATATGATCCACATCTTTCTGATTATTTCATAAGCACTATACATCTACAGCTCTCTAATATTTTCTTTTGTGATATATTTTACGAAATACTGATATTTCTCCTTCATATCTACATGCACATGTAGCTTTTCTAGGTCATGAAATCCTACAGCAACTTTTCTGCTTCTCTGGCCCTCACAATCTTCCTTTTACCTATTCTCCACTTATACCTGAGTATGAGGTATAAAGATGTGTCGTAGTCTTATCAGTTGGAGATATGGGTACATGGGTAGAGTAGAGAAACCAACAAAAGGGAAATACATTCTAAGGATTAATATTCAATTTTTATCTGCATGGGAAATTATTAATCTCTGCTATAATTGCTTTATCTAGGGAAAAATCTAGCTTAATTCCATGCTTTCAACACTTATGCCTACTCAAGTATAACACAGTTTACCTTTTAAATTGAAAGATTGAGTTTAAGTAAGATTAAAGTGAATGTCTTGGCAAGTCATATTTTTTAAAAGAGTTGGAGAATATCACCTCTAAAGATAAAACTAATAGTACTATGAGTTTGTGCAAAATGAGAAACTTTGTGACTTTCTACACACAGATATGGACTGTAAACAGGATGTGGACATAGGGCAAACCTAAATCAGGAAGACACAAGGAGCCAGACAAAATGACAAAGTTCTAGAGATAAGAATGGTCCCAGTCCTCATTTACCCTTTGCCAGGCCAAGCAATGGCAGCTGCTAAGACAAAATAGTAGTAGATCATGTGCCTCAAAGTGGTGAAGAATAATGGCTAATGAGTAATGACATCTGTCCAAGTTCATTTTCTCTTTCATGATAAACATGGTAAGCAAGTTTGTTTTAGAATATTTTATTGTGAGGTATACTGCAAAAGGGTCTATTTTTTGATGGCAGGGAAGCTGAGAAAGCTGGTCTTGGAGATTTTCCACTGTCAAGAAGAAAATGAATATAATGTTGCTCCACTTCCTTTGTCCTGTTTGCTTGGTGTGAGACACAGCCTATGAAACAGTTGATCCCATGTGTGGTATGATGTAAATATGTAAATAGCCAGTTACAAGATTCCCATCACAGGCATGTTCATGATATCAAGGTGTCACTCTTTACTAACAATCATAAATCTAAGCTCTCTCACATAATGCCATGGTTTGAAAAAGCAAAGTTTATAAGCTGGTGAGGCATCTTTGCTGGACAGAGTGAGTTACTCGGATGTGGACACTGAGACTTAAATAAAGCTTTGCTTATTCCATCATTTGCTATGTTTTCTGCTAATGTGACTTCCCAGCTTTCTGTTCCTTCTGCTATATGTATCTCCTCATTGTAGACATACCTCCAGTCTGGGAACATGGAGTCTTAATCCATCTGAAACCATAATTTGAAATATACCTCCCTTTCATATGTTGCCTTTGGTTATGATATTTTACCACACAAACAAACAGTGACTAATAGAATAACATATAACCATGACATTTTAAAACAAAACTTTCTAATCCCTTCCCCCATAAGAACATAACCTTGTCATAACACATGATCCATTGAGGCCATTAATGTGTCCCCAAAGTCTTTCACAGTGTCAATAGTGTTCATAAAGCCCGCCATCTCTTTTGAAACTCAAGGGAATCTGTTAATTATAAAATTCTAGATAAATCAAACCATGATATATAATTCCAATATTCCAATATACAATATCGAAAAGGAAGCAGTACAATTCCAAAAGGGAAGAATCAGGACATATCAAGGGTGATTGCACCAAAGAAACACTGGATCTGTGGACAGCTAAGCAGTAAGTTCTGTCAGTCCTAGTAGCTTCTGTGGCTTGTGATGAAATCAGGTTTGGCTCTAAATAGCTTCAGCAGGCCACCATCTTAATATGTGCAGGCTGTAGCATACGGCTTTTCCCTAAGGCTCGTGCTCCACCCCTGCAACATTTCTCAGGGAACAATCTTATGTCTCAATCACGATCTCCAAAAGATTGTACCATGACAAGTCACAACACTCGTCTCTTCTGGCACATAACTTCTGTGTGATAACCCTAAGGAAACACTTTGGAACACTTCTCCTCAACTGTGTTGGTCTCTTAAGGTAGCTGATTTGCAGTCCTAGCTGACCTGTATCTACTTTTTCTCTGCCAATCAAAGGTTTCCCTTTAATGGTCCTGGGATTTGTTGACCATAACTTATTCTTCAACCACAGCTAAAGAGAAACCACAGAATCTTACCTCAAAATATATAAGGGCTCTGGTAGAGGCCTTGAATGACTATCAGACTCTCTTCTGGAACATGGTCAGCCAGGATTCCATCTTCTATCAACAGTCTTTCTTATTTTCCAGGTTCCCACAGAATAGCTCACCAATCATTGCACACTTAGTGGCTTTTCTTGTACAAAGTTCCAAAGTCTTTCCACAATCCTCCCAAAACCAATATGATTGGGTCTGTCATAGAAATATCTCACAATCCTGGTACCAATTTCTGTCTTGATTAGGGTTACAATTGCTATGATGAAACACCATGACTAAAAGCAACTTGGGGAAGAAAAGGGTTATTTGGCTTGTACTTCCACATCCCTGTTCATAATCAAAGGGAGTCAGGGCAGGGACTCAACAGGGCAGGAACCTCAAGCCAGGGTCTGATACAGAGGATATGAAGAAGTACTGCTTACTGGCTTGCTCACCATAGCTTGCTCATTATGCTTCTTTACAGAATCCAGGACTTCCATTCCAGGGTAGTCCACCCACAATCGGCTAATCCCTCCCTCTCTCAGATGACTACAGCTCTTGTCAAATTGACATACAAAAATCTAGCACAAGTAGTATATACAAGAGTCCTTTGAAAATGATATCATGTGTTCTGGTTGTGACATGACAGGGAGAAGTCTAACTAATACTAGGTGGATGATTCCATGCTTGCCTACTTCCTCAGTGCTAGATGATATTATACTGGTAACCAGCAAGAAGTACTATTTAGGGACCTATTCTGATGACAAATTATCTTCAATGTATATAGTAAATTAAAAAGACAAAATACAGCAAGCAGTAATTACAAGTACTAATAAATGGATCCTGTAACTGTAGTTTGGTCATAACCATTCCTCTTTGAAAATGTGACAGGGTTATGACTGTCCATAACCAAACATGAGTGAAAATCAAATAGAAAACTAAATAAAATCCTTCCCACCAGCAATGGAACAGGGTTCCCCTTTGTCCACATCATCTCCAGCATGTGTTGTCACTGGAGTTTTTCATCTTATTCTGATGGGTGTAAAGTAAAATCTCAAGGTCTTTTTTATTTTATTTCCCTGATGACTAAGGACACTGAGCATTTCTTTAAGTGTTTCTCTGCCATTCGGTAGTCCTCTGTTGAAAATTTCTGCTCATCTCTATACCCCATTTTGGATTACTTGGTTTGTTGGTGTTTAACTTCTTGAGTTCTTTATATGTTCTGGATATTAGTCCTGTGTCAGACGTAAGGTTGATAAAGATCATTTACCATCATAGAGGTTGTCATTTTGTTCTGATGACAGTGTCTTTTGCTTTACAGAAACTTTTCAGTTTCATGAGATCTCATTTATTGATTGTTGATCTTAGAGCCTGTGCTATTGGTATTCTGTTCAGGAAGTTGTCTCCTTTGC